ACCAATAATTGTTCTAATTTGGACAATGAATGTTTGGGAGAACAAATACCTAAAGTTTGAACACAAATATATCGGTCCAATAAATGGTAACACAAAAAATATATATTTTACTTGACAAAAACCAAAACAATTTAACAAAATAAACTTTTAAGACTGCTAACGACAAAAACAAATTTAGGTGTTGAATTATTCTATTTATTTACACTACTGTTGATATATCTATATTCACTGCGCTATTTACGAGGGTGGATTGATAAGTTTCCGGCCTAACCAAGAGATGACGCCACTAGGCCTACCTTGAGGTGACATTCTATAGTACCATCCTTGGATAGCTTGTAGCTATAGTTTCAGCCCGATCTCCTNGTCCAATAAATGGTAACACAAAAAATATATATTTTACTTGACAAAAACCAAAACAATTTAACAAAATAAACTTTTAAGACTGCTAACGACAAAAACAAATTTAGGTGTTGAATTATTCTATTTATTTACACTACTGTTGATATATCTATATTCACTGCGCTATTTATTTCACTGCTATCACTGTCAATTTATTTCTCGATTCACTTCTGCAACGGTCAGTTTATTTCTACTTTGCTCGACGATCGTCTCTTCCTTTAAATACTCTTTTGTTTCCTTTCTGGAACCTTCTAGAAACATCCGGATCGTTTTGTTTTTCATTGAACTGTTTAACTGCTTTTCCGGAACGCACACAAACACGCTCGTGCTCGCTACAGTATTCTGGAAACGAGGAATACGGGACATATGGGACGCCTTAGACGATTTGCGGGACTATTTTATTAAATATTGTAATGCGGGATTTGAATTGTCATTACGGGACGGTCCCGCAGAATCCGGGATGGTTAGCCGCCTTAATCTAGGTCTACCTCTACTCTCCTTAACTCCTATTGCTGTCTCTAATATGTCCCTAACTAGACCTTTATGTCTTCTACTTACAGGTATGTACAGGAAATTGTATCCTGTTTACAATTTTAGTTTAAATAGTGTCCCATTTTCATACATCAGCTATCTAATTTTACCGATAATAAAACTAAACAAGCGCGACTCTTAAAGCAATTCATCACTGGGCGGTCTTCAGTAGAAATCTATATGTTAACAAAGCATTAATGTACCTAACAGACGCATGTGTGACAATTAAAACCGTTTCAAACAAGTGGAACTCATTACTAGATAGTTAGAAAGCCGTTAGGATACATTACAGCCATACAACAAATAACTACGAGTATTTAAATTACAAATATCCGTAGAGAATAACTTTCTCACTATAATAAACAATGTAAATGTTACTATTATTAGGTAAAACTACAACCAAAACATTTTAAACAGTAATAGGTACAATATAGATACAGTGTACTGTGGAAGGTTCTTTTTGTAGAGACAATTGGTCGTATGTTGTTGAATCAAAAGTACTTCTCCCCATTGCTTGTTCATTCATTCATATTCATGTACGGAGAGTAGTATTGTTATTTCACAAAACAATTGATAAATGATAACTAACTTGGCGCTTCTTGCTTGTCATAACACAAAAGACGATATTACCATTGAATTACGAATATAGACGACGAATTTTACATGGAAAACAATTCATCGTATTAACTTAAAGCATAAAGTGAAAAAGTCACGATAACAGTCCCCGCCTCATATAAATCATTAATTGATATTAAGCAAAAAAAAAAAGAAATTTATTTCATGTCTTGAATTAAAACGGACCTTTCTCAATAGAGAGATCCTTTGTGTAAGATTTCATGAAACTTTTTATTTTTAGAATTCTGGGCGCCCGCCGTCACAGTCACCATAAAGTACCATGAATCAGTCCAGACGCCGGTGATTCGTTTGAAAGGGTATAATATACTGGCTGGCGTCAAGAACTTGTTAATTAAATTAATCCACCGTCTGCCACGGGCGAGACGGTCTTTTAATAAACAGACACACCACTAAAAGACATTCTACAAAACAAGACTACATTGTCGCGCTCCAACGCAAAGATACATCGTGATTCATGGTCCGACCCTGATCAAACACAATTTATTTATATTTGTACCTACACTTATTTAACTACAAGAGTTTTCAAATATATTTTTTCTTTAAAGTAACCGCAACTTTCAATACTAAATAATGGGAAGTGATATACAGGTTGTACCTATTATAGTAGTCTGACAGAAAAAAAGGAAAGGAAGTTGCGATTCCTTATCTAAACCATTTAAAATAGCTAGCTTTTAACACGAAAAATCACCAAAATTGTAAGAATAAAAAAGCGCACGTGAAATTTCGACCTATTAATCAATTATTCTGTAAATGAGAATAGGTGAAATATATGTAAAAATATGCGTAGAATCTCGTGGTGGCAACAGTTTTCGGGTGCGTCTTGAAATAAAAAAAAATTCATTGTCATAACGATAAAAATACGCAAAAATTGTAATAAAAAAGCGCTCGTGAAATTTCGACCTATTAAACAGTTAATCTGGATGTGAAAAATGGTGAAATATATGTAAAAATTAGCGTAGAATCTTGTGGTGGCAACAGTTTTGGGGTGCGTCTTTAAATAAAAAACATTTGATTGAAATAACGCAAAAAATACCCAAAAATTGTAAGAATAAAAAAGCGCTCGTAAAATTTCGAACTATTAAACTANCCTACAATAACTTTAGTAGTAATTAATTTGTACATATTGTTACACAGATGGCTCTACCAGTACGGGTAGGTGGCTTCCCTTTAAGATAACCTCATTTTTGGTGAAATATATGTAAAAATTAGCGTAGAATCTTGTGGTGGCAACAGTTTTGGGGTGCGTCTTTAAATAAAAAACATTTGATTGAAATAACGCAAAAAATACCCAAAAATTGTAAGAATAAAAAAGCGCTCGTAAAATTTCGAACTATTAAACTATTATTCTGAAAGTGTCAATAGGTGAAATATATGTAAAAATATGCGTAGAATCTCGTGGTGGCAACAGTTTTCGGATACGTCTTGAAATAAAAAAAATTTCATTGACATAACGATAAAAATACGCAAAAATTGTAATAAAAAAGCGCTCGTGAAATTTAGACCTATTAAGTAATTATTCTGTAAGTGAGAATAGGTGAAATATATGTAAAAATATGCGTAGAATCTCGTGGTAGCAACAGTTTTCGGGTGCGTCTTCAAATAAAAAACATTTCATTGAAATAACGTTAAAAATCCATAAAAATCCGTAAAAATTGTAAGAATGGAAAAGCGCACGTGAAATTTCGACCTATTAAACAATTATTCTGAAAGTGTCAATAGGTGAAATATATGTAAAAATATGTGTAAAATCTCGTGGTAGCAACAGTTTTTGCGTAGGTCTTGAAATGAAAAACATTTCATTGAAATAACGCTAAAAATCCGTAAAAATTGTAAGAATAAAAAAGCGCTCGTGAGATTTCGACCTATTAAACAAGTATTCTCAAAGTTATAAAAGGTAAAATATGTGTAAAAATATGCGTAGAATCTTGTGGTGGCAACAGTTTTCGAGTGCGTCTTGATTTATTTTATTGGGCGTTTAACCTAAATCAATATCAGAATTATCTAAAAATTAGGTAACTAATTAGTTTATCACGATTTTACACAGTCATCACGCTTAATGTAAAAAAAAGCGTATCAAATTACTTTGACGTTAAATAAAAGTTCTGATTAAGTAATTGCTTTTGTGCCTTGCAATAAATCAAATTAGCTCGTCAGTTAATTTAATGTGAAGCAAAAAATCGTAGCAAAATATTTTAAAACTTCATTTTTTATAATGTGTTTCTTTTTAGATAGTTATAATGCTGTAAGGTCACCTTTCAAATGATTTTCACATTATTAACTTTCACTCTAATCAATTTCTGTGCAAGTACACTTAATTATAATTGTAACACAACAGGTGTATCAATAAAAAAGAACGGGGAATTAAAGAAAAAAATCACAAACATTATTATCTTTCGATAATAATCAAGAAGGACAAGAGTCTTATGACTCATCAAGAAATCTTCCAATAAATAAATTTAAAAAATATTTATAGAAACTACTAGTTACTTATTAATCTGAAATAATTGAAACTAATTGGAAATTGAGAATAAAATAAAGGTATATTCGTATAACGAAGCATAAACTGCATTCATGCTGTAATAAAAAAACAACAACGCTAATCCAGCCAATGTTTTGATAACACTACGTATAACATTTGTACGTTTAGTATAAAAATTATGAATGAAGTTGTACCTTAATTTTCGCACAAGTTGCGGATATCCATAAACAATATAAGATAGATAAAATAGGGGGTCACTTTTCACATGAAGAAAAACACAACATTCGTTTCGAAGCAAAATAAGCCGGCCGTATTAATTGTAGATAGTAACGCGCTGGGACTACAACCCAACACAAACAACTACTAACTAACAATAAAAACAACTTCGGATGGAACAACTGAACAAGACCGAGTGACTGAAAGAGCGAACCAGCGAACCCACGAAACACATGAATAAACAGTTGAACACTTGACGTCCTAAAAATCCACTTCCAAGGCAATTCTCCAGTCTCGCCAGCAAGTCTCCCTCCCACCCATATGCCTTTCTTTTATTACAGTGGATAACATAGTGGATAAAAAAAGAGTTTTGGTATGCCCTATGTCCGTCCGCGAAACTTTTTACGATTTTATCAAAACCTAATCTTTTTATTACGAGATCGATAAGATCAAGAAATATAAGTCTAGACTTTTCTGAGTTTCTGAGTATTACAGTGGTGATAAAAACTTATTAATTAGTTAGTAAAAAGTTTTAAAAGTTTTACTCGCTAAGCCCAATATGACAAAGTTAGAGAATCTTTATCCATTGCTTTATCAAATAAATATTTCCATTAGACTAAAACATTTCCGATTTTAACATGCAATTCAATTCAACCACCTTATGCTTTAATTTGAATTCAAAAAGATTACCGCTAAATCGGTACAGTACACTTTCATGATACAGTAAATGTAGGTAAGGCAGATTTCTCGACATTGTAAAATGTCAACGTCTATGGATTCTAACCTCATAAATTCTGAATTTATACTTGTGAAAAACAAGAAATTACGCAAAAATAAGACAATAAAACCAAATAATTTGTCACAGGTTTCCCATTTTGAAAACAATACTATCGATTCTATTATAAGGTAAATATGGTTTAAGTACTTTGTAAAAGATTAAACAGAGGTTATGTTTCAGGCGAATTAAATCAGCTAAGCAAGAAATAATCGTTTCAGACTTTTATAAGTCAGTTAAAGCATCTACTCGTGAAGCCTTAAGTCTTCTTATTCCCTTAAAGCCTACAGAAATAGTCTGTTTTGGACTGGGTAAAGTTGGTGAGTGCACTAGTGCTCGTTATCAACTAGCTCTGTTACTGTGTTTGAAAGACTTCTTCGATGTAAAAGCCTGTATATACGACCCTGTTTTTACATCAAATGATGTAGACATACTAAAACATTTTAATTGCTTAGTTTTATCTAACAATTCTGAAGCAAAGTATAGAATCTCATCCTCAGAAAGCTTAACATTATTTTACTTACCCCATTGTCCAAAGCAGCTATCAAATAATTTATTGTGGGCCAATTGGGGCCTAGAGCTTAACTGTTGTATCATTATAGCCAACAGTTTCACTAAAATACTTGAAACAAACCCCAGTAGAATTCTTCAGGGGTCTGCCAATTTCATATCAAAAATTGTACCATATACACTGGAATTGGCTTTGATAAACACGTTTAAATACCAAGACATTTTCAATGACCTATCTCTTCATATTTTTCCAAATACAAAATTATATTTGATTTCTAAAGAATTTTGGGAAGATCGAGACGAACCTAAATATACCGATAACGACATTGAATTTATTACAAAAGAAATGGCTGATTCCCTAAAACTTTAACTAATCAAAGCCCTTTATTCTTCAGAGAAGGGTTTTACAAGAAGAAATGAATTACTCGTCGCCTGCTATGCAAACTCTACGTCGTTTAATGTCTGAAATGCGCCGCAGCAGCTCCCAAAAGAACCCTAAAGATAATTTGGCCCTTCAATATGTCCTCAATCAATACAGAAAATTTAATGTTACTGATCAGCAAACTTGTAAAGCAAAGGACGAGGCCAAATTCTTAGCCGATACTTATCTTTGCTATCTGCAGAGCACCCGTTTGCATAATGAAATTCGAAGTCAATATCATGGAAAGGGCGAAAGAACAGTACAAGAAACAGCCAAAATTGTGGGCTTTAAATTACCCCACGAACCTAAATAACTACTCTTTTAAATTAAATGTAGAATTGTTCTTAGTTTTTTAGTTGATATTACATTTATAACTATTTAGTGTACTGTACAGATATTAAAATAAACATTACAGATACTTTATTCATTATAGTATTATTTGTTTTTAATATAAGGCCACAAAAGCTTTTTAATTTCATTCATTTCACTTATCAATTGCACTTTACCGATTTTTAAAATTCTAATTTAATGGCATCACATAAAGTTTAAAGATGATAATTAAAACTGAATAAGTACCTATGTTATAAAAAAGTATATTTTACGTATTAAACTCTTGTACAATATCTTTATCAAAAGCATTTAACACACATTTCAACTTGAAACATTTAATACACATTTCCCCTTATCAGTAACTGAATTGATAAAAAACAATAAAAAATCACATCACAAAAGACCTTTTGTATTATTACTTACTGTATTCCTTTTCAATTTGCTTAGCTATAGTGTTTAGTTGCATATTGGTGGTACCCTCATAGATGCTACCTATTTTGCAGTCTCTGTAAAACTTTTCCTGGATGAAGTCCTTACTAAAACCCACCCCGCCCATCCAGTCTATACATTTTATTGTGGTCATTTGTGCCACTTCGGCCGCGAAATACTTTGCCATGGACGCCTGTTTAAGAAAGGGCTGACCAGATTCGACCAATCTAGCTGCATTGTAGGTAAGAAGACGAGCGCATTCAATTTGAGTCGCCACTTGGGCTATTTGATGTTGCATAGACTATAAATTAAAAAAAAAATAACGTCAATAAACAGTTTCTGAAGTAAAGTATAAGAAAAAAAAATGTCTCTTTTTGATGTTATACTTCTTTAAAACGGCGTTGACAGTAAAGTGTTGGCATGCAACGGATGTTGAGCGCGCACACATAACAAAAATTCAATAGTATGAAGTTAGCAGTATGGCTATAAGTTAGTGAACACTTTTTTACGCCAAAGAAGTATAACTTCTGAAAGGACTACTTGGGCCTTAAGTTAAGACGGACCTGGAAACTAAAGATCGATTTTCCAAACTGAGACCGCTCCAGGGTGTACGGCAGGGTGGCGTCAAAACACCCTTGAGCTATCCCCAGCATTTGGGCTGCAATTCCTACTCGTCCTTCGTTTAAAAATCCTGCTGCAATTCTATAGCCTTTCCCAACTTCCCCCAGGATCGATTTTTCAGGAACTCTGACGTTATCAAAGTTCACTACACAAGTGCCTGAGGCACAGAGGCCTAATTTGCTCTCTTTCTTCCCTATTGTAAGGCCAGGAGTGTCCCTTTCGACTATGAAACACGTTATCCCTTTGTAGCCCTTTATAAAATAAAATTTACTCCTTAACCTTTACAGATAGATTTATTCATAAAAAATAAAGCTTACTGCTGCAGGATTGACGTTTGCCATGACCAGAAATATTCCTGCAATGTCTGAATTTGAGATCCACATTTTTGTGCCGTTTATGATGTAGTCTGAACCATCCTTCTTTGCAATAGTTTTTAATGCAAAAGCATCTGAACCCGATGTTGGCTCAGTTAAACAAAAACTACTGGCCTAAACAATAAAATTAATTATTAATTCGCAGTAAAAACAACAAATAATTTTTATACTGTATGAAAGAAATTGATTAATTAATTACAAAGACAAAACTGTTTCTTTTTCGTACCGTGTTCGTTGCAAGTTTTGGTAAATATTTATTTCTTTGTTCTTCAGTTCCCAATTTCGTGATAACACTATTTACCAAAGTGTTCTGAATATCCACCAAAATAGCAACAGAAGGGTCGACTTTAGAAATTTCTTCCACTGCCAAAATACTTGTCATGAAGTTACAGCCTGATCCACCAAACTTTTCAGATATTTCTATGCCCATTATCTATACAATTAACATAAATAAATACTAATCAGTAAAACAGTAATCAACGTATTAACAACTTACTTACTTATTTTAAGAAGTATAATACTACTTTTTAAATACAAAAACTAAATTTTAGAATATTTACTAGTACTTTATTCCCCAGTAACAAAGTGCCATTCTACTATTACTCCTTCAGGAATGATTTTAATTTATATTAGTTCTTCCCTCTGCCCTTGGCCATTTTTATTACTCCCCTATGACGTAGTGTCGGCCATCATTTTTCTAATTGTTGCAGTTGTCGGCCATCATTCTTTTCTAATTGTTGCAGTTGTCGGCCATCATTCTTTTCAATTGTTGTCGTATTGTTACTGATGTCGGCCATCATGGTTTTTTAGGTATGCAACACATCGTACACTTCAGCATGAGATTGTTGACTAACTTTCTTTTACGTAATACTATTTTGCCCTGTGCTGACAGCACTTATTTTTTTACAATATATGTTGTTTTTTTAGAATTAATAAGCAATGTTGAATGGCATTGATATTACTGAATCATGTAAATTATTACTTTATTAACTATAATTATTCTTTAAGTAAATACTGTTTTATAAAATGAAATCTTACTCCATTCTGAAACAACATATCCAGTACAGACTGCTGTATCTGCCCCTCTTTTTCCATTTTTCTCACATATGGTCCAATTTGCTCCACTGCAAGCTTTTTCACTAGAAAAATCATTACAAATTATTTTATAAATGCATGTCTTGACTGTTATCTACTAAAAATGATGTTATTAAGGCTTACCAGTTTCTTTCATCACCAGCTCATCTTCAGACAATTCTGTCAAGGGTCTGGGTCCTGGCACAATATTTTCATGATTTTGACTCTGCTCTTTTTGAAGAAGCCCCCAATTTTGAGAAAATAATCTTCCATGTACTCTTGCAAGCACATTTTGGTGCTAAAAATAATAACTAGCGTAAATTATCCAGTTTGTTTAAAAACAGTAACATAATATTATATAAAAACATGTTGTTTCTGAAATTATGAACTAAATTTACCTAAATTTTGAGTAAATACCAGAAACTAACCTTTACAATCGAGCAACAAATGGAAATCATTATAGCTTTTGTTTAAACAGTTGAAATGCAAATGAAAACGATGAAAACAACAAGATACGAATTATCTGCATAAACATGAGCGTTTGTTAATTATATTACATACATATTCTACTTTCAACTGATAAATGATTTTGAAAAATTAAAAATATCTATAAAGATTCTTTTTCGTATAACATAAAGTAATAAAGATTAATGTCAATGTTAACAAATAAAAACCAAATATAATTATCAATATGTAATAACAATCTTCATAAAATAATAGTATGCCTTACCGTTCTCTACAAACGAAATTTTTGAGTTTATAATTACAATACGGTTTAGAAAATTCAAAATTTAAAAATAAAAGAAAAATGGAAGGACATCTAATAAAATAATTGCGCATGCTCAGTAATTTTCTTTCGTGTCGCATAGTGGTGTTTTGTAAGTGTCGTTTATTTATTATCGTAAATCATCCTTATTTTATTACAAAATATTACCCCAAAAACTATTTAAAGTTAATTGCAGCACCGTTTTCAATCATCTTTTAAGCAACTTTGTTTAATCCTCTTATGATAAATACAATCAATACATTCTAACCTTAAAGACTTAAGAGCAATTTGTTATTTTTTAGGACATACAGGGTCAAAATGAAGCTAAATAAATTAGTAACTTCGTCAAGAAGCAAAAACAGAAAAAGGCATTTTACAGCACCATCACACATTCGCAGGAAGTTGATGTCCTCACCCTTATCGAAGGAACTCCGACAGAAGTACAACGTTCGTTCTATGCCCATTCGAAAAGATGACGAAGTACAGGTAAAAGTACCTGTATTGAATAAAATAGGAACATGGAAGTATGATATTTTTCTTATTTAGGTTGTGAGAGGACATTACAAAGGACAGCAAGTAGGAAAAGTTGTTCAAGTGTATCGAAAAAAGTTTGTAATTTACATTGAAAGAATTCAACGAGAAAAAGCGAATGGTGCCAGTGTATATGTCGGAATTCACCCTTCAAAAGTATGTATTTGAGAACCCTTAATGATTTTTAGTAAAAAGTCATGAGATTTATGATGTTAAAACAATCCATTCAAAGACTGCAGGTTCAGACTGCTTCACTGTAGCTGTGACCAAGGTTCTCTTGGCCACCAGTTAGAGTCTTGCATGTCCCCTGCATTTTGGTTAAACTTAAGGCTCTGAATAAGTCTCATGTATTATCTAGATATTATTTGAGTAGTAATAGTTTTAAAAAGGGTTTTTCGTGTTTAGGTGGTGATAGTAAAACTCAAAATGGACAAAGACAGAAAGAAAATAATAGACAGAAGGGCCAAGGGACGTTTGGCAGCTCTTGGAAAAGATAAGGGCAAATACACAGAGGAGTCTGCAGCTGCAGCTGTGGAAACATCATAAAATGTGTGAAAGTCCCACCCTTAAATTGTATTTAAGTAATGCAAAAATAAAATATTATTGTTTATTTCTTATATTGGCTTTTATTTAGCAAAAGTTTTAGATATAAAGCTTAAAAATTACTTACTATTATTTAGGCAAAACAGATGTAAAGTTTATTTGCAATATTAGCAAATTGTTATCCACCTTTCTCCTTTCTCACATTAAATTTGTTTCTAATGATATCATTCACTCTTTCACGATTTCTAGCTAATTCTATTGCATAAAACTGAATTCTAGTAACAAGAATAGAATTATTTTCATCATATTCTTTTGATGCATCTATTCTAAGTAATGTTCCAAAACTATAGTCCTCAATAATATCTTTAAACCTTTCACAAAAAGGCCTCCACTTCTCCTTTGCCTCTTCGCCTTTTAGTTCGTCCTCTTTTATAAAATTAACATCAAATTTAGGAAATTCTTCTCTAAATAGCCTATATATTAGGTCATCATGTGGGGTAAGACGTAACAGTTTTGGATCCACTGAACAGAGGATCTGAAATTATTTTAATTTAAATAATGGCATGAACGAATTTATGTGGACACTTACATTAAAATAAACCTCTGCGTGTTCGTAAGCCTTTATGGCCCACATTGCCTCCAGAGATTGATCATTTTCAAATTCTTCAGCAGGTCTACTTAAGATATCCTTAAAAGGTAGTCATTGCTTTATAAATATATATATTTCTAAGACGTCTACATACCATTTTTGCGTTAATTTCAGCACAATTACCAGTATTTTGCAAAAAATGTTTTAAATAACAAAATTTTTGTAAAATTCTTAGGTTATGTTGTATTTCAGTTTATATTGTTTATCCTGTAGATGGCCCTACAATAACTTTAGTAGTAATTAATTTGTACATATTGTTACACAGATGGCTCTACCAGTACGGGTAGGTGGCTTCCCTTTAAGATAACCTCATTTTTATGTAAGATAAAGAATCTAAAATTAATATTATTTAATATTAGTTTAGAGAATGGCAGAAGAGATAACGTGTACTTCATATCACCTGTTTAATATTAAGTGAAGTTATTTTGTTTTAAAACCAATTTTACATCAAAATCATCATGAGTCACAAAGATAGTGAAAGAGGTAATTTTTGTATAATTTGTATTTCTGCATTAGTAATTGTTTATTTTTCACTAGGTGTTCGATATTTTAACGATAAAATAGGACGAACTCAGTCCTCATTAAGTGTATCTGCTGTAGACAACAGATTTTCAGTACCTACTCGTAGTTCACCCTCTTCTGCAGTCTCCACTGTAACTTTAACTCCTGGACGAATTCGTAATATAGATCAGGATATGGAAGCATTACGAGCGTCAAGGCAAGATAACCCATTTTTAAAGGTAATCCCAATTTCTAATCACTGATATTATGAAGGGTCTGACTAATTAATTTTTGATGTAGCAAATTATAGCCAGTCGGGAAAGTTTGGTAGAATCATTAGAAGAAACTGAGTCAGATGACATCAACTTAATGTCTAAGGTATAAATAATTTGGTAGTGCAGCTCATTATTTAGACTTTTTGTGCTTAAATTAACTTTTTCTCCTTGCAATTTATTACTAACACTGGGGCTGGAAATATTTTAGGAGTTTCCTACTGATCTTGATGTTGATCCCCTTTCTCTTCAAGAAACGCATGAGCACATGATTCGTAGTCCTCCTCCCATATATTGGCCAAAATCACCTACTTTTCAGGCCTTCCAGTTTCCAGAGAAGGATGAAGAGTTGCTTCAAGTAGAATTTAATGTAGGTCATGCTTTGAAATTTGCGTTTTAAATTAATCATAAATTGAATAATATTTTTGTCTGTTCTAGTCCAAGTCAAAGTCACCAAAGTCTGACAAACCAAAGAAGCATACAAGCTGGAGTGGTGCAGAACTGTCTTCTGTGCCACGTCCCCATCCTCATCATTTTCGTCATTCTGATAGATTTTCATTATTATCTCCACATTCATTATTATCAACATCAGAAGATAGCGTGGGATTAATGTCTTTGGAGGATTCATAACTTGTTTATTTTCTACCATTTCAAGTTTAATTCAGTTCCAGTAGTAGTTTTTCCTATTAATGTTTCATGTGATAATTTTCTAGTCAGTACAAATAGATTAATTATGTAATTTTAAAGCCAAGGTGTGATATTTTTTAGTGATGATATTTTTAAAGCTTAAGATAACTGCATCAGGCTGTAGCAACGTTTAACATTAAAGTCATTACGTATTTTGATGTAATAAATTAAAATCTTGATGAGTACATTAAAAGGTAAATATACCTACTTTAGGTATTTTATAAATATTTATTCCAGGAAGCTGTTTTATCTGTTTGTAATAAAATTAGTACCTGCCTGCTGGTGATGTTATCTTAAAAGCACTTTTGATTATATATTATTAGTTTAATTACTTTAAATTTGACTTTTTTCAAAGGGCATGAATTATATTCCAGTTGTATGTAAGTAGTATTGTAGAATCTGTCACTTAAGGATTGCTGTTGTATGAAATTATTTATTGTTGTTGCTTAATAAGCACATTTAATATGCACACAATTTTAGGCAAATTTATCCTTTGATTAAGGTCTTATTAAATTTCAAATCAAAAGCCACAAAGGTTTTTAAATTTGATCGTAGATGATGTAATTAGTCAAATTTAAATAAAAAACCTTAATGGCTTTAGATATGCAATTTATAAGAATATCAGGAGAAGAATAGTAACTAATAATTAAGGTCTTTTGGTTGAGTACAGTGTAAGAATTTTTTTCCATCCAAAGAAATTTTTGTATTCATATAAACATTATTTTTAAAGAGAATGCATACATTCCAAATTAAGTATTCAACATTTAAAGTGATGGAAAAAGAAGCTTTAAAGGAAGAAGAAATGATAACTAATGTACTTAATTTTTTTCTACTAGAAAATCGAATGGAGTACAGTGGACCTAAACTAAATAAAACACTAGAACTCAAAGATTTCACGTACATTTTTGGATTCTAGTTCTTTATTTAATTTTCTGCTAATGTTATTTCATCCCCATAAATTATTTTAAAGAATATGTCAATGATGTACAAGTCTATATTGGTGGCTGTTTCTGAACGTTTATAAAAATGTTTTTTTTTCGTTTATCGTCAAAAATAATAAACAACAGGGTAAAGAATATATATGAACACGTTTTTCAAAGGAAATTTAGGTACTTGTGAGAAAAATGATATAAAGGTATCATATTTTACATTTAAAAGATATAAAAAAATTATTTTAAAAGTTTATGTACGTTGCTAGATTAAATATT